CTCGACTGTGTGACTGAACAACAACAACAACAAAAATAAACAAGCTATTTGTGAAGTCTGGAGAACAGCTATGATTCCGGGAAATCTTCAGTCCCCACCTGGAGGTTGGCAACCCTAGACTCTGTGCTGATGGGATCTGTCGGATATATTATAGGAACAGGGAAGGATTTTATTCTGTCCCCCTGTCACGACTCAGGTGGGGTGTCACCTGATGCTGCCACCACTCTGGATTTAGGTTCCCTTGAGAGGGCCCAGAGTACCCTCCCAAGACTTTTAGACCTCCCTTTTTGAAAGAAAGAACAGCTCTTCCTGCTGCTCCAGAACTTTTATTCCCAGCCCTCCTCTTCTCCTATTGGTCCATTTTGGCTCCAAAACCTCCCAGGGGCTTCTGGGAATTGTAGGCACAGCCTCACCTACTGCTAGCCAGGCTCTCTGGGCCTAGTAGGCCTCTGGTGGCACAGTCTAGATCATGAACCCCCCCCCCCACACACACGTCTTTGAATTAAGGTTGGGTAATTAACCGGTCAAAGCATAGGTGAAGGTAGTTTGAAAGCATTTATTAGAACAACCAAAACGATATGTCAGCCATCAGACAAATGTAGCACTTAAAGCTTTATTAAAAATAAAATGAGAGTAGAGTGATCTTTTGAAGAGAACCCTGTAGAGACTTATTCTGCATTTATGCTGTAAGCGAAACGGGTATCCAGGGGCACCTTAAAAACCGACAGAACTGATTCCAGCGTAAGCTTTGGTGATTCAGAGCTCCCTTCATCAGATGCATGAAAGTTCCCCGCATTAGGCAGATGTTAATCTTCTGATTTCTGTACATCTTTGATAATTTGCTGAACAGTTCTGGGGGGAGGGGGGGTTCCTTAGAACACCTGGGTAAGCATACAGTTCCCAGTCTTAAAAATTATATCAGAACAGGAATAAAGCCAATTAACAGCAATTATTTAGGAAACAAAACAGTTTTTAAAGGCAGCTGTGTCAAGTAGGTAGCAAGGCATTTCTTCCTGTTTGGAGCTATAGCAGGTAGTCGGTAGAAGAGGGTTCATCATTCCTTCAAGGGTGTGTCCCCCCCCCCCCTTCCTGAAAGATGCAGGGGCTGGTGAAGAAGCAACCCTCACTCCCATCCTTGATAACGAATGACTTCAGAATGAAACCGAAAGGGAACCTGTTACATAGTGGCATTCTTGACTTCCTGGGGAATTTAACCACGGTAGATAATGGAAGTTCTCAGCTTCCATTTTCTTAAGGAGCTAGTCTCCATTTTATTTCCACAGGAAAACATGAATCTGTTTCAGCAAGACTTTGATTCCAGAGGGGATTTTAAGCACTGCTACAGAAACATGGCTAAGAATGTGCCTTACATTACCTCCCCCCCACCCCCAGCTCACTTCAACCATGAATTTACCAGGTGGTCCTTGGGAAGCCACTGTCTCTCCGCCTTTGTACTCTCTCCTGCATTGGCAATGTGAGGAATAATACTGAGCTACCATAAAGGGGTGTCGTAAAGCCTGCATGTTACACTGTTTATGGGTCCAACTTTTGTCCGTTCAATCACATGTGCACTGGAAGTTCCCCAGTTGAAACTTAGATTCTCAGGTGCGCTGGGCCCCGATTTGGATGAGGTCCTCAGCATGCAGGAAGTGCCCCCCCCCCCAACGTCATCTCTCACACCATTTATCCATCCCACCCAAAAAGAGCCCTGTAGAGGCATTACTTGCCCCAGACTTCAGCACATTAATGGGCTACCAATGAGGCATCTCCTTACTGCTGATCCCCCCCTGCCACCCCCCCCCCCTAAATTTTACAAGCCATATACAAGTTTCTGACTTTGTAACCTGTTATTCTTTAGTTGCTTCAAGATGAGCACAAATTTCCTGTTCTATGGAATTCTCCCACCAGGTCTTCTTCTCCAAAGTATGCGCTGTTCTACACTCTGGTAGACTTGTCAGCCATTGCAGACGTTCCAGCTCCTATACAAAGGGGAGAGAGGCTGTGATTTGACAATCACTGTGTATGAGCAATGCACATCTCAATGTTCTTGCTTGTTTTTGTCCACTGCTCAACAGTATTGTGATGCTTTCATTGTGTGGGCGCGAATGATAGGTGATGTTTGCAGCACAGTGCACCCATGAATGTACAGGTTGCTGCCAGGACCCGGATTACTTCTCGCTCTCCGAGGCTATGTGGAGCCACTACAAAGTAGCCCATGTTAACCATTACTCATGCTTCTGCCCACTTGTGTCTGCTTTAGTTGACTTGTATAGAGGACTTTATTAGAAATGTGATTAGAGACTTTGCTAGAGTGCATTTGTGCCTGAACAGTGTGCCATTGTGGACCTGACCCAGAAAGTTCCGACTCACAAAAGTTTGTTCTGCAACAAACTCTCTATTTTGGCTCCCAAAGATGAATAGGGGTTAGCCCTCTAGAATAAAATTCTGAAAAGTTTTATCTTAGGAGCGTGGGATCAGGTGACCACAGAGGGATAGTTTCTCAGCTAGAAAACAGGATTGTACATAATGGGGTGAGGGCGAGAAGGGTTTTTAAAAAGTGTTTCAAGAGGAAAGCCTTTGGATAGGTTTTGTCAGCTACCTGCTAGGTATTATGCAGCTTGAATGGGAAGGTCAGATTCTCTCCTTGTGTCACTGGAGCGGCTAATCCAAGGAAGGAACTGTGGGCAGTCCAAACCAGGACACGATCACTCATGAACACATGAAGCTGCCCTATACGGAATCAGACCCTTGGTCCGTCAAGGTCAGTATTGTCTACTCAGATGGGCAGCAGCACTCTGAGTTTTCAGGCAGAGGTCTCTCACATCACCTACTGCCTGGTTCTTTTTAACAGATGACAGGGATCAAACCAGGGACCTTCTGCATGTCAAACAGAGGCTCTTCCACTGAGCCACACAGCCCCTCCCTCGTATAAACAAAGTATAAAAAGTCACATTTTGGAATTCTCCCCTATGTTAACTCCACCCAACCCACAAACAGAAAGCCAGCACAGCAGGCTACATTGTCAATTGTCCGTTTGCAACACATTATTTATGTGAATTCACCCCTGGAATTCAGCACCTGCAGTCCAAAGAGATGAGTCCATTTCCTTTTCCTGCCTTTTAGTGTTGTTATTTTTTTGGCTACCCTTATTTCCCTAGCAGCTCACTTGAACCAGGCCTCAGTGGGGCCCTGAAAAGGTGAGATTTCTGCAAGCACCCCTTAGGTTGGGGACCACAGCTTGTTCACCTGCATCTCCGAAAAGGCTGCCGAGTCCGAGTGCCTGGTTTCTGCAGGAGTGCGAAATCGTTTCTGCCCTTCTCCCAAAGTCTACCTGCTTGCTAGAGGAAATGATAAACCAGGTTTTTCCCCTCCCAGTGCGGCTCCTCAAAGTGAGAGGAAGCCAGGGGGAGGAGGAGGGGGGTTTCCTCCTTGCCGGAACGTCTTTATTGCAAAGGAGAAATTTTCGTCCCCGGGACAGGGGAGAGAAAGCGGCAGCACGTGGAGGCAAAGGCGTGTGGATGTAACAATGCAGTAGAGTCAGCGGCCAGGAAGGGAGGCCCCGGTGAACGTGTGGGGCGGCCTGCAAAGGACACCACGCAGGATTTCAGGCTAGGGGGGGGGACCTCACCCCGATGCAAATTCAGCGAGGGCTTAATTGATCAGCGCCTCGTCCCAAGAAATCACTGGGGTAACAGAGAAGCTAGAAAAAGCTAAGCGGATATGACAGCAATTCAGCCTCTGCCCGGACCGCCCACATCCTCCCCCCTCCCCGTCCTGAAAGGGCAGGCCTCATCTCTGTGACACCTGTCCTAGCCAATCCAGGTGAACTGAGAACCCGCCAATCGCCGAGCTCCAGCGGCAGCACATGCTCTTTCCTTTTTTCTCCCAGCCTCTCCTCTCTCTCCCTGGCTTTTTCTTTTTGGTGTCTCCCAAACTTCCTTTGTCAATCAACGGGGAGACGACACAGACGAGCCCTGCCCCCCCATCCCCAAAGGCTGCGCGCCCAATGAGAAGCGCCCGGAGGGGCGGGACGTCGTTCGTCCTGCAACCAATCAGGGCCCAGGTTTAGCCGTCCAGGGGCGGGGCGCGCAGAGTCTTCTTCAGCCGCCTGTCTCTCCCTCTCCCCGCTTCTCATCCTCCCCCCCATTCCTTTCCTCACTTGGTTTATCCCGCTCTGGGCCGGCTGAGTTTCGCAGCTCCATGGTGGTGGCGGTGGCGGGGCAGGCAGACGGAACCATCCAACCCCGCGCCAGAGGGGGGGGAGGAACAAAAGAAAGGCAATTTAAAGAGATAGGGACCGCGGCCGGAGCGGGCGAGGGGGGAGGCGGCCCGAAGGCGGGAGAGAGAACACACCCCTCACGCCCGCCCGCCTTGTCTCCGAAGCCGACGCCAGGATTTCCCTCGCTTCCTCCCCCCCCTTTTTTTTCTCCCTCAGCCGCCGCCGCGAGGCCTCCATGACTGACTGACTGACGGGACCGAGACCGAGCCCGGCCGCCACGGACATTCCTCCCCCTCAGCCGCCGCCTCATCTTTGTGCGCTGCCTCAGCCGCCGCCGCCTGCTCGTCGGCGGCGCTTTGTTCGGGGCGGCCGGGGGCGGGGTTGAGGGGAAGCGAGGAAGGGAGGAAGGGAGGAGGAGGGGGGGGAGAGAGCG